GAAAACAGCTATCAAAGCAACAGCTACAAAAGTTGAAAATGAGAGCCTCGGAAATGGAAACACGGGAAAAAGGTAGCTGCACACCACTGTTCTTATAAATAAATCCTCAAGTACTAACTGATTCCTTAAACAATGTGCATATGTAATATTTTTATTTATATAAATTTTTAAAACTTTGAAAAACGTGTTTGTAAGAAAACTTCAAAGTGTTAGAACATAGATCTAGACTGGGTAAGGGTGAGAGAGACATAAAGTGAGCAGTAGACAGTACAAGTGTGGTAAGATCAATAGTCTGGAGGCTTCGATAAGATGAGAGAATTGTGAAGTGCACTGGAAAGATGAAATGTGGGTCAGAGTGAGGTGGGCTGCAAGAAGATCTCAAAGGTGATACAGTAGCAAGGAACCACGTAAGCGGATGCCTGAGGTAGAAAAGATCATAGGAGCTACAGAAGTCCAGGAGCTTGACTTGCCGGGATGGTGGACGATCATCCACGTGCTTGTTGAAATAGTCAAGAATGAAAGCAAGAGTAGTGGAGAAGAGATGGAGAATGGCTGCCCTTCAACTTTTCCTCTAAAACAGGAGAAGGTCGGAGCGCCTGGGTGGCTCAGTTGGCTAAGCATCTGCCTTCAACTCAGGTCATGATCCCAGCATCATGGGATCGAACCCCACGTTGGGCTCCCTGCTCAGTGGGGAGTCTGCTTCTCCCTCCCCCTGCTCTTGCGCTCTTGCTCATTCTCTCTCTCTCCCTCTCAAATAAATAAATAAAATCTTTAAAAAAAAAAGTTAAAAAACAAAGCAAGAGAAGGTGGAGAAAATAAGAGATGAATTATGTAAGCATAGAGGCCCTTACACTTTACAAAAAGAAAAAAACAAGTACTACTAGTATATTTGCGGAACATTTCAGTAAATTAGAACATGTAAACTAATATTATTTATGCAGTCAATAAATTTGTTGAGTAAGGGAAGAAGAGATAGGGTGAGAACTGAAAGAGTAGAGCCACCAAGGGTATTTACTATAGAGGCAAATCTCGAAAGATCAAAGGACAGCACTGATTGTCCATAAAAACTGCTCAAGTGGAAAGCCCTTACTTTTAACAGTGCTAGATACTAGAGCTATATATTCAAGGAATTCTTTTACTACGCATAATCACATGATACGGGTGTGGGGTGTTTTCATATGTTCATTTCTATATACATACACATACACACACACACACATATATTTGTAGGCATACCCTTAAGGAAAAGAAAAAAAAAAAACAGAAATACCAACAGCAGACATGGAATGTCAACAAACAAAAACGGACTTAGGTCAGAGAAAGCTGAAACCGACAGGGATTCTTTAGGGCATTCTGACAAAAGGAAACAAGCAGACTTGCAGCAGACCCCAGAAAGGCTCAGGTATTTAAAGCATCAGGTATTTCTGAAAACCAGGGTCAAGGACAGGACTCAGAACAGGGTATCAGTAGCACTTGAACCCACAGGTCTCTTCATAAAGAAGAAAGGACCTTTACATTTTGGAGGGAACACAGAGATTCAGGATTCCATGAGATTTAAGACTCCACAGACAGCTGAGGAGAGGAGAGCCTGCACTGAAAACAGAACCTGTCCAAGTCTTCTCAGTGAACAGTTTGACTTCCATTTTGACACTTGACTTCCTGAGTCCCAGGGCTCAGGTTTATATCCCCAGGAATTCCTTTCAGAAAAAACAGATCTGCCAAAAAAAAGAACCACAGAATTCTGATACTTGGGAATGAAAAAGTGGCCATGTCTACACAGAAATCCACCAGTTGATGAAACCAGACCATGCCCATTGAGCTCTCTCAGTCAAGTTTTTAAAGTGACTCACTTTTAAAAATGAACAGAGTGTCACGGATCACCAGACATCTGAAGAAATATTTGAGCATGAGACAAAGCTTGAACTAATTAGGTAGCAACATGGAACCTGAAGGCAAAGAGATCCTGCAAGGGGAGGAAGAAAACATCCATAAAAATATAATGTCCCCAACTGCCCACAGTGTTCTTTAATATCAAGAACAGAGCTTCAAATGAAAAAGCAGGCCATGCAAAAGATAGGGAATCAAAGTATGTGTTGAATGAATGAACGAATAGGATTCTTCAACTCCATAAGCTAAAATAACAATGGAGCAATGCCTTCAACATTTTTATGGAAAATATGTGCAACCTAGATTTCTATACTAAGACAAACCAAAATCTAAATGTGCTAGTGGAGTAAACTTCATCAGATATGCAGAGGCACCAGAAAAATGAGATAGTAAAACAAGAAGAGAGAAAGATATTAGGTCAAGGAAACAGAAAAATCCAAACAGAAGAAAAGGAAATCACAGTGACAGCTGTCCAGGAGACCCAGATGGCAAGCAAGCCACAGAAGACAGAGAACACCAAGGAAAAAGAAAAGAACCCACAGACCATTAGGGTTTATAGATCTGTCAAAGTTTGGGGATGAAATTATGTGATAAAAAACTAAACTAAAAAATAATAAAAAGTACTTATTAACTAGAGGAAAAACAAAAGTTGTATAAGAGAAGAAATGGGACCATAGCATACTACCTGGCAGTTTGTGAAAAATATCTACATGGTTAAATAACACACATGAAGTCCTAATTTAAACAAACATTATAATTGTATTGGAAGGATGGGGACAGGGGACAGTGTTAGGATAGCTATGGCTAGGAGGTGTAAGAGCAAAATCCTCATTTTCCACAGAAATAACTACAACAATAGTAAATCCAATGCACACCATGTTCCAGGCACAGTTCTAAGTACTTCATCTCTACTAATTTAATCATCCTCATTAAAAACCTTGCTATTATTATCACCCCCATTTTATATGTGAGAAAACTGAGACAAACTTGAAGTGCTTGGCTGGCTCAGTCTATAGAGCACCCAACTCTTGATCTCTGGGTTTAAGTTTGAGCCCCATAATGGGTGTAAAGATTACATAAAGATAAAATCTTAAGAGACAGAAAGACAGAAAGAAAGAAAAGTAACTTGCCAAAGGCACAATTAATTAATAATAAAGCCAAGAATCAAACCTCAGCAAATAGCTCCACAGTCCATGTTCGTACCTATCCTAACAGCAGTTCTCAGGAAGTCTTTACACTCTTAAAATTATTGAAAACACCAAAGACTCCTAGTTCGTGTGCATTATAGCTATCAAGAATGTTTTAACAGGCTTTTCAGAACTGTGGCTATTCTTTCTTTCATGGAACATAAAACTCAACAAAGATTTCCTAAAAGTTAGTTGCAATGTCAAATATGAAATCCTATCAATGAACTTCTCATATTCTGTTATGTTAAAATCTGCGAGTCTCTTGCATTTGAGGGTATATTTTGCATGCACTGGTTGTTAGGAAAATATTGGTTCACTTACTTCTGCAGATCTTCTAAATATTGATACCCTTTTATTATATAATATCAAAAAATCAAATTCATTAATATCTCCACTGATCTCATCAGAAAAGTCTAGCCAGTGGGAAGTTCTCAAGCTCACAGTGCTGCCTAGAAGTTTTCCAAAATTCTGATTTTCTCCTGAAAACTCAAGTTTTTTAATCAGTAAGAAATATTTCAGTTTCTCTTCGAAGTGGCAGGTTCACGGTTCCTTTTGAGAAAATATTGTTCACATTCCCAAGTCTGACTAACCATGATGTCCGTCATTCTTTCAAGTAAAAATGATGCTCCATGAAAAAAAGTGGCCAGAGTTCAGATCACAGCTCAAAACAATTATGCACACGATTTTTTTTCAAAACATCCATCATACTTCTGTATGTACTTTGGAAGTGCCTGATGCATACTTCCCATTTCAATCACACATAATACACAAGGGGGGAGAATTAATAAAATTTACAATTTTCACTGCATCAAGGATATTAAATGAATCTGGCATTATCATTTCCTGTGAAGGCTTAGCAGTGTGGAAAATGACAGCTTGGTGCGCTCAGTTTTACCCACCATTGCTTGCGCACTGTGAGTGCAAACATCAACATAGTGGAAAAAGGCAAACACCTCAGTGCTATTACAAAAACCCGTTTTAACCTCATTGGCCTCTTGAATGGGACTCAGGGATCCCCAGGGATGGGCAGATAATCTCTGAGAACCACCACACTACATAGCCTGTGCATAGTCTCTAAAACCGAAAAATAAAGTGGCTATATAAGTACATTTTAAAATAAGAAGGCCAGGGGGCGCCTGGGTGGCTCAGTCGTTAAGCGTCTGCCTTCGGCTCAGGTCATGATCCCAGGGTTCTGGGATCGAGCCCTGCATCGGGCTCCCTGCTCAGCGGGAAGCCTGCTTCTCCCTCTTCCACTACCCCTGCTTGTGTTCTCTCTCTCGCTGTCTCTGTCAAATAAATAAATAAAATCTTAAAAAAATAAAATAAAATAGGAAGGCCAGGACCAAAAGAGACAATATAAATAGCTGTCCTTCAAGAAGAGGGAGGATTAACTGTCTTTCATTGTAACCCTTGTACACTATTTGGCTTTTTAGGAACATGGATTATTCTGATAAAAATCTGCAAAAACAGCTACATCCTTCCTCATTAGCAGACAAGTAATTTTTTCCTTTTTGCCAGGTTATCCCAAATATATTTTGTCCTGGGGAACTCTTACTCCTACATGCCAACATGTAGGAGTCAAAAAAATTAGACACTTAAAGAAAAAATATTAAAAGAAAAAAGGTTGAAAAACACTGCCTCACTTCATTGTAGAGAAAAACATTAACCGGGAAAAACCCCTGCAAAATAAAATAGCTCCTCTAGAAAACCATTTCTATTCAGGATTTCCCAATTCTTAACCTAGCCATGCTCAACATCACCATCAATGCAAACTGAACACTCTCTGTAAGACAGAGAAAACCTTATCTCCCCAGATCCAAAACAGATGAGATGCACAAGAAGGTAGAAACACGGTACAAAAGCTTTGTAACAGAACAAAACATTCTCCCCAGAGAATTCATGACATAAGTTAGAAGAATATCATACCAGAAAAGGGGAATTCTGTGTCAAAGAAGATTTCTCTGCCGTCTTTAAACTCCGCTGCTGAGCAATGAAACGAATAAGATGGTTTGTTTCAGGGGAGCCCCGAGCGCCGATTGTAGAGCGTCTTCTGGATTTTTTAAGGTAGGATGAGGCCTTTCCTGTAACAAAAACTCTTTTAAATTGGAACAAAGCAAGGCAATCATTGGTAATCATGTACTGAATTCCCTGTAATATACCAGCCTAAGAGAGAACACATAAACACCTATTACAGAAATCTAAATAGAGTATTATAGGCGAAATTACTCACACATGGTCAGTCGGATAGGGATCTTTGTCTATTGATTTATTCCATGATTCTGAAAGTGTCTGGCATATAGAAAGCACTGATCAGAGTGAGTTATGGAATGAACACGTGAACACATTTTAATAGTTCCCATTTTTGTTTCATATTTCTTGCACACAGGGATGGGTAATAGCTTGCTTTGGACTAAGAACTTCTCTTCTTTCTGAATTAGTCCTCTTATCCCCAAGAACTGAAAGGAAAGCTCTCCACTTAGGCACATGTACTCCCAGGTTCTCAATTGTTCAAGATCATTTTTTTCTCTGAGATACCAATCCACCTTCCACACACTATGTTGCATATGCTGAAGAGGACAAAATAAATCTAGTTTTTTCTTTAAAGATTTATGAATAATGTTCTTGAGAAGGGAACACAGAATGGCACACCACTGTGGTCTTGTCTACATCATGCATTATCTAGTCTAGTGCCCTCTGGCTTTCCAGCCTTCCCTCACTCTCCATTTCTAAATGCTGTTCTCCAATCTAATCCCAGTTCCATGTTTATTTCCTCTCTTAGCTAAATCTGACTTCACAGGTGAATTTCATTTCTACTCCTTGAAGATTAGCCCAAGTCAATTTTGTTTGTGATTCTGAAAGAGGCATACCCCAATCTTTCTTAATTGCTCTTCAACTTTCTCTTATTTTTACCATATGTGAGCATAAAATTTATTACTACTTAGAGTAAACATATCCCATATCTCATGAGTCAGGTCAAAAAGTGATTCACATATGTCTTCTTTTCCAGTTTGGGCACAGAGCACACTGTTGAATGTTATCATGCTGGGTGCCCTAGGAACCTGATAGTCTGCTATGCTAGATGCATGGTATTTACAGAAATGTCCCTAATCGAACGTTTGCAGAGTCAAAGTAATGAGATAAAGCAGATGAACAAAACTGAGTTAAAGTTATTTTTAAACTTTAAAAGCACTGCAATAGAAGGACAACTTCTTTTACCTGAAGAGTTCTTTACAAAGCTTTCAGGTGTAATTCCCAATTGCTCTACTGTTACTGTGTTAAAATCCAAAGGTGACTTGAAAGTATCTGGTGTGCAACCACTAGGAGTCCCTTCAGGTGCATGCTTCTGAGGACTTACAAGCCTCCCGTTTCCCGAAATGAAAGAGGTATTTTCTGAAATAGACAACATATTGTGAGGGCTAAACATCATTATGAAAACAAATACCTAAACCTTACATTTCACAAGGAGGCAACAGATCACTACATACCAGTATCACGAATACCAGGCTCCTTGGTTTCAAGAGGCTCGCTGTCTTTTGAGTTGGTATCCATCTAAAAAAAAAAAAAAAAAAAAAAAAGGAAGAAGAAAAAAACCCCTCATTTCCAAGTTAACGATTAGATCAAGATTCTCATTCAAGACTGAATTCTAATACAACCTATACAGGCATGAAAACAGATGTCGAGCGTATCTGAGAGCTTTTTAAAAAAGAGAGAAATGGAGGAAACTGCTGTTGAGGATGAAACAAAGCAGACCTCACACTAGAAGCCATGGCTTTTCAACCTGGGCGAACATCTGAATCATCTGGGTACCCTGTTATAGACACAGCTTTGCGGATTCCCAAAAATTCTAATTAAGTAGGTCTGGCTGGGCTCCAAGAAATCTGCATTTTAGAAAGCACGCGGGCGGCCCGGCTCAGGCAGCAGGAGGACCACTATATCCGTGGAGCAGGGTAAGTAAGAACACGCTTCTGAGAAGCACGCCCCAGAAGCAGCTCTGCTGGACCAGGGTCCTTGCCCTACCTCTCACTCCCGCAGCTTGGCTCTCCTCCCACTGGGTTTATTCGGAACGCTCCACCGCGGGGGAGTGTCGTGCAGTGCAGACTGTTCGCTCGATAAGGCAACAGTCGGCCGCCAAGTCGCCCGCCGGGAGCTGCCTCGTCCGGCCCGAGGAACTCCAACCCCGCCGCCCGCGATCCCTACCCTCGCCTCCGCCCGGCCGCTGCCTGCCGCCCGCCGCCAGATTCAAATCGCCGGCCCCGCCTCCTCGCTACCGGCGTTACTCCACGAATCTCTACGCCGCCGCTGTCCACACGTGTCCACGCGCACCCCGAATTCTCCCGGGCCTCTACCTCGTCGTCCCAGGACCAGGAGTGGTTTGGTGAGCTCGAGAGAAGCCACCACTAGCTGCGGGTGACGCGCCGACCAGAGAGACCTGCTGAGGCTAACCTGTATCCGGGGGGACTACTTTCCGTGAGAGTCTCGCGGAGGAACCCTTCGGTTATCACCTTAGCTCCGCCCCCGTCTTTCAATTGGATGCTGCAAACTTCGAAAAGAATCATTGGACCAATCCTGGCAAGAACGACGGGAGGACTCTTGCCCAATCATCCAGTCCAGACAGCAGCCGTTTCGTCCGTGGTTTGAGCGAGTGGGAGGGGGAGCTGACTTGTATAGGTCCCTGCTAGAGCTCCACCTCTTTCCTTCCAAACCCTCCTCCCTATGCAGATGAGCTCTACCTGGTGTTGGGTTTGCGCCTGCTCAGTAACGCCTAGAGCCGCCGTTCGGCTCCAGGTTGTGCTGATTGGCTGATAACCCTTCCCGTCTGCAAGACTGCAACCTCTCTTCCCTCCCTCCACCTGGGCTGGGTTAGTATGAGCCCACCCAACGCAGGGCGAGGATTGGCTGAGCGCTGTCCGGCGCTGCCAGTTGATTGGTGGAGCTTAGAGTCAGTCTGGGAGAGGTGGGGGAAGGGTCCCAGGCTGACTGAGGAGCCCAGGGGCGGGGTGGGAAGGAGGACCCGCCAACCCTGGGGTGTGGGACCGAGAGTGCGTGCGTGTGTGTCTCTAAGAGAAGGAAGGTGGCGAAGGGAGGAGAGTCCGAGTGGGTGGAGGGAGGGGAAGGGCGGGAGAAGAAGAAGGTGGGAGGAGAGCCAGGCGGGAGGGTGGCGACTCCCTCAGGACCCAGTGGGGGCAGCGCGATGAGGCGGGTGACCCTGTTCCTTAACGGCAGCCCCAAGAATGGAAAGGTAAGGGGGTCGGGAGGAGGCGGGCCGCCTGCTGGGGGAGAGGGCAGCGGAGCGCGGAACGGGCTGGCAGGGCGGAGGGCTAAAGTTGGGCAGAGGGGCAGGGAGGTGGGCGTGCGCCGGGGTGGGGGGCGTCCAGGAGGCGAACGTCGGGTCCCCGCGGCCTCCTTCCAGCCCGCGGGATTCCTGACCCGAGCCCGCCCTTCAACTCCCCAGCCGCCCTGGGGCCAGCACAGGTCAGCTTGTGCTTTATCGTTCCCACGTCCAGGTGTGGGTCCTGGAAAACGGAGGACTCGGAGGGCGCCGGGAGGGCCGCTGTCACCTGAGCGCTTGGTGCTGATGTCCCTCTTCCCACCTCCACCCCGAAGACCCCAGCCCTGGCTGTAGAAGGGCGCTTGTTGCCACCTTCGTGCTGAGTAATGGTCTGCTCCAGAAAGTGGTGGTTAACAACTAAGGCAGACACGGAAGGTTGATCAGGTAGAAAGAATGAAACTGTTTATCGGTGGATAAATAAAATATTCTTCTATCGTAGGGTGAATAGAAAATTGAAAATTAGGGACATTTTCTTGATGGTTCCTACCTTTGTCTTTTAGGCGCCCCAAGCCCCGCCGCCGCCAAACTTACGTACTCACTTTATTTCGCCTTGTTTTAGTTCCTTAGAAAGACTGTCACAATAGACTAAAATGGATTGATTTGACGTTACTAGTTGCTGTGTTCGGCCTTTGTTGAGGGTGTGGTACCAAATATTTTTTCCAAGGCTGGAGCAAGCCAAAATGAATCCTGTTCCTTCTCAAGCCGCTTGCCCCACCCATGAAAGTTGTTCGGCTTCTTTGGAAAATTTGACTGCTCAAGGCAGACATTTATGATGTGGCTAAATGACATCTAGAAGTAACGATGCCTTAGAGTTTAAGGTAAAGGTAAATTGACCTCACTGTATTATTTGCCAGGATACAGTACTTCGTTTCCTGCATATTTTGGAAACCGTATGTTTTTAAATAGTGTAATTGTGCCCCGGTATAAAAAATGGCTTTCCAACTACTCTGAAATTTTAAATAAATCTGCTCTAAAAATTTGAACCACGGTCTAGTTTGTTGACTATAATTTTGTGTTATTCTGATTTTAGAGACTTAATACATAAAAACAACTGGCATATATTCAAGTTCTTGAGTTTTCATAAATGTTACTTCAAAATATACTTCACAAGATTTATATTATTTCTGACCATTAACTTTTTCTAAATCTGTGTTGTCTGTTAGCTACTAAGAATCTAAAACTTACTGTTACTGGAAGAAAAAAATAGTATATCCAAACAATTGTAATATTTTCTCAAAAGCAGACCTTTGGTTGACCTTGTTATCCAGCATCTCATTGTTCCTCTCTGAAAGACAAGATGTTTAGACTCAGTCATAAATATTTAACTGTGCTCTAAATCTCCTCTGAAACCACTGAATTTTGTTCTTTCAAAGATCGGTTACATTAGTCTTACCATATGTATTTTTTAAGCTATCTAGTTTTGATTAGATTAGGTTTTGGGGTTTAAAATTTTTGTTTCAAAAATATTTTCTCTGGAGTCTCAAAAGATTGGAAAAAACCCATCTCAAGTAAATGAAGATAAATATATTTATGTTGTGAAGATCATAAAGATCCAAACTGGAGAATACTAGTATGATTCAATATTAAAAAATCATACTCTAATCCTTACTACTCAACTGGAAAACATATTCTATGCCAAAGTTCTGTTTCCTGTCCTTTCCAGCTGATTAAAAAAAAACAAAAAAAACAAAAACTACAATTACTCTTATTTGACAAAAGATCACAGAATAATACATAACAGCTTGCATGTTCATATAAATAATGTGACTAGAGCTAGCCTGGATTGGCGTGATCGTGACATGATGTTCATGAAAAACATGCTGAAACAGAGCACTACTATTACAGAGTTTGATTTTCCATCCAGCGGTTAGGATATCTGTCACTTTCAATCTCTCCTTATTAACCTAGCTTCTGTTTTTGCTTCCTGGTCATAAGTGTCTGTTTTTTCAAATAAGTTTCCCTCCTATAAAGCTTCTTCAGTGGTTTCCAGACCGGGCCAGAAAGCCTGGGCTTGGAGAGGCACAGAGTTACTGCAGGGAACTACATATGCTTACCATGACTTTTCTGTATACTGAATAAACATAAGTGTCACTAGTGCATGCTTTGATGTTGTAGTTGTAGAGAGGGCTGGGCATGCTCTAAAACAGTGCTTTCCAGAGTGAGACAGTACACCACAGAGGGTGTGCAAGAGGACCCAGGGGAGTTTAAGAAGAAATATTATACTTTATATTTTTACTTAGAAATATAAAATCATATTAAAACTTGATTTTTTTGGGGGGGGGGGCGCCTGGGTGGCTCAGTCGTTAAGTGTCTGCCTTCGGCTCAGGTCATGATCCCAGGGTCCTGGGATCGAGCCCCGCATCAGGCTCCCTGCTCAGCCGGGAGTCTGCTTCTCCCTCTCCCACTCCTCCTGCTTGTGTTTCCCTTTCTCACTGTCTCTCTCTCTGTCAAAAAATAAATAAAATCTTAAAAAAAAAAAATTTAAAACTTGATTTTTTTAATCCATAAAGACAAGTACTTTCAATTACTGAATGTGTCAGGTGGTCTCAAGTCTACTGAGAGAAGGGAGTATGTTCACATGTGAAAACTTCTTCACTGGTTGGTTCACTTTGGTATATTGTGATGTACTGAAGCACACAAGTGCGGGTTAAGATTTGCATTATCCAGTTTTAACTAAATTAACCTTCACCAAAATGCCAAGTGGCTTTAAAAGATTCCTTCAAAGAAGCTGCAGATTGAAGAATATTAGTTACGTGAACACAAGTAAGCGATGAGAAAATGGCAGAGCTACCACCTCTCCAAATATAAACTATGAGAATTGGGGGACGAGGGAGCAGGGAAAGGATTTCTGGACCTGAGAAGTCAAAAAGTGCTGAATTTTATTTTATTTTTTTAAAGGTTTACCTATTTATGAGAGAGAGAGCACGCACATGTGCGCAAGTGGGGGGGAGGGGCAGAGGGAGAGAATCTTTCAAGCAGACTTCCCACTGAGCGCAGAGCCTGAATTGGGGCTCAGTCCCATGATCCTGAGATCATGACTTGATACAAAACCGAGAGTTGGACGCTCAATTGACTAAGCCACCCAGGCACCCCAAAAAGTGCCGAATTTTAAAGAAGATTATTTGAAGTCCTATTTAATAACTGCTATTAACAATAAGCCACTCCCTAAGAGTATATTGTTCTTTGAAACATTAGCCAATGATGAGATGAGGTCATCCTAATTAGCAAGATGTTTAAAAATATTTTCCAACATATGAAGACAATTTGAGATGTTTTTCTTTTCCTTTCTTGTTCCTTTTCAGTGTTTAAAATCAATTTTATATTTGGCAGGATTTCCCTAAATTTAATGGTAAATATTTAGGGGATTTTTACTGGCCAGCTCCATATTCTAAGTCGATAAAGGTTTTTGGGAGATCATATTCTTTTCTGACTGTGGCGTAAACTTTATAAATAAGTAAATAAATATACAAATGTTTGAGCACATGCCCAAAAATGTTTTACTGATGGGGTACATAGTCAAAACATTTGAAGGCCATAATTCTAAAAAATTGGGATCTTCAAATTTTATCTTTTTTAGTTGCTCCAAAAGAATCAGTTGTATCCTCTCATCCTTTCTCCATATGCCTTGGAATTCCCATTTTTCTCTTTTTGATATTCTCTGTAAATAGCATTAAGGAATTTGAAATGAGGACTCAGACATCTGAATGTAGTGAGTGATTTCTGAGAAACCTGATGTCAGTTCAAAATTTCTGTACCTCTTGAACAGAAGTTGCTTTAACTAAAGAATATTCAGGAATAGGCTGTGCAAGTCATAGACCTTTTGTATACGTTATTTATTCAGCCAAAACTAACTGATTACCTTCTTTGTACAAGGAACCATGCCAGCTCACTGCAGATATAATGGGACGTGAAATAGATCCTCTGTCCTGATGTTTACACTCTTAGTCCAGGACTTAATTGTTTTCTTCTGGCTTTGATATTAGGTCAGAAATATGTTGTTGGTGTTAAGTATCCAGATTTGAATCTGTTATATTAAGTTGAAGGAAGGTGAAATCTATGTGACCTTTGCTTATTGAAATCTAAACATTAATGAGAACTTTGCTCTTCAACTTTAAACATTTAAGAAATATATTTGATACATATAAAGAGTATTAATATGCATAAAAATTAAGACGAAAATAATATACCAAATATCAGTAAACCTGCCACAGAAGGCAAGAAAAAGTATATTACCAAAACTTAATGTGCTTGTTCACTTTCCTATTCCCTTGCTTATCCATAAAGTGAGCCAATTTCATGAATGCTGTATTTCTCTTTGCCATGTCTCTTTTAATAGTTGAGCCACATATGTATATGTATAACTAAATTATATATTGTTTTGTCATCTTCGGGA